TTTTTTTTTCTTGATTGTTCAGACTTGTACGGATTACTTCACAGAAGCGAGAGCAGAAAATTAACACATTAAATGCAGCCAAAACAATTGCACATATAAACTGCACATTTGCAGTATTCTGCACCTTCTGGAACGCCTAATTGTCGAATATGACTAATATTTCACCATGTATGATACTCATTAAATGTGGTCGGACCAAAATTGTGTCGTACTTTCACTTTGGAAAAAATCAATGGAAACCAGTTTGTGTGGTATCTATCGAAAAAAATTGAAAAAGTGACAGAAAGTTAGGTGAAAGTTACGATCCAATAAGGTTCAAAATTTTTGAGATTGGTTCTAAAAGGGTTGGGATCAATGCCAAGGTTTTAATATTAGTTCTAACTTGTAAGATCGATCTCAATCAGTTTCAATTGACCTTATTTATTTGTATTTTGACATGACTTGGTTATAGCCTTTGGTACAATCCCGAAAATTAACCGCTAAAGAAAATACCCTACGGACTTGATATACTGATTCTATAACTGTTTTATTCATATAGGTTGTAGCAAAGGACCTGTTCAGGGTTTTGAAAGAGAAATGTGGATCAAATCTAAGTAACTTTCTCTCACAAAAAACAACTCTTGTCCCTGGGGACATTACTTGCGAGAATGTGGGTGTTAAGGACTCTGATTTGTTGGAAGAGATGTGGAGAGAAGTAGATGTTGTGGTTAACCTAGCTGCAACTACCAATTTTGATGAAAGGTATATATATATATATATATATAGGCTACCAAATTACTTTAGTTTATTATAACGTAAGCTTTAATTCTTAAGTAAATTAATGTTTGCTTGGATTTTATGCAGATACGATGTTGCACTGGGCATTAATACAATGGGAGCTAAGCATGTCTTGAACTTTGCCCAAAAATGTGTCAAATTGAAGGTGCTTCTCCACGTTTCAACCGGTTAGTATTATTCCTTACACATTACATTATTAGGGGTAAGTCGTACTTAAAGACACGACAAAATGTAAGTAAGAAATAATGGATTTGGGAGGGGGGAATTTAAAGTGAATAGTTTTGATAAGAATGTTAGTGGCTGTTGAATGAGTTTATTTGAGACCGTTAAATAAACTTATTGAACTTTGGTCTGTTTTATATTATAAATTTTGGACTTTTGCTTTTGCCTTTTTTTTTTACAAAAATGTGTATGTGAGAGAGTAATGTTATTTAAACCTAATGAATATTGGCAATTTTTTAGAGTCAGGCTATGAAAGATTTTATACCTCGTGAATACTTTAGTCCTGGATTAGATGATTTATCTTTAATCAGATTAGAGAGGAAATTAGTCAAGATGCGTATAAGTTGGTCCGAGCACTCTTGATCGTTAAACTAAAAAAAATAAGAATTTAATTTGCTAACCTAAATAATCACTACTATTAGATTGACATTGGGCCTACCATCAATTGAAACTCATTGTCAATTCAATAGATGTGATAGATTAGGTAACACATTAAGTTTTAATGCAATATTTTTTTTTATATGTAGAAGCTAATTGTAACATTTTGATTTGGATTTAATGATTAATCTTAATTCTTAGGCTCGGTGAGAATTTTTTATAAAGAATAATGTTATTAAAATTTAATTTATTAATATAATTATTAGGACTCAATACAATCGAATTGTTATAATAAATTAAATCAGTAAATACGGTTGAAACAATAACTACTATTGTTCCATTGTGTGGTCTTAGCTTATGTGTCTGGGGAGAAAGCTGGGTTGATATTGGAGAACACATACAACATGGGGGAGACACTTAATGGGGCACATGGATTAGATATCGATGTAGAGAAGAAAGTGACAGAAGAAAGATTGAATGAGCTACAAGATGAGAAAGCTTCGGAACAGGCAATTACTTCGGCTATGAAGGATTTTGGAATCCAAAGGTTAGTCTTTATCTATTATTAGTTACCATAATGACACTAGTCTTAGAAAAAAATAAGCGAAATTTTACGGTATCCAAAAAAATAAAAATTCGATATTGTATCCCAACTTTTTTTTTTTTTGAGTAAAATTATAATTACTCAAGAGAAAACTATGATCGATTACAGACATCAATGATTGATCATGAAAAATCTCGGTATTAATCCCAACCTTTTATTATCGATCATATTCTTTAAAATTGATATGTACATTTCAAAAAAATTGTAACCTAACTTTAAAAAGTTATAATTTTTGATGCGAATTCGTAAAAAAAAAAAAAAACAAACAGAATTCTAAATTTGCAACTACTAGACAAGGTTAATTTAGTCATTGTCATACAGTCTGGAGTCAGTGACATTAGACAATCCTTCTGGGTCAGTTTTGGATCTTTCAAATATAATAGTAATATAACCCATGTGGCAAAAGGTCATACACATGTACTGAATTTGGTTCTTGAATGACATTTTTGTACCCATCCCAACCATGGCTGGGAAGCTGCATAATTTCTCACTCTTCCCCACCGGCCTCAAGGGGTTTAAACCACCCGAGTCCTTCATGAGAAAAGTCTAGTGGTACCACTTGGTAGGTGTATTAATTAAGCTCAATGTTTATTATCATGACAATAGATATATATATGTGTGTGTATATATATATATATATATAAACTCGATTTCAGTTAAATAATTACTAATTTCGACTCACTTTAAGCTTAATTACTATTTTGCTGAACTTAAAATCTTGGTCAAATTTGACCCGATTTCTCTCCCATATTCTTAGGTTGGGTTGAACTTTTACTATTTTTGAACTATAAGTTCAAATTAGGACTAAAATTTGAATAAATTCCAAAACACAACCTCAAAACGATTCNATTTCGACTCACTTTAAACTTAATTACTATTTTGTTGAACTTAAAATCTTGGTCAAATTTGACCCGATTTCTCTCCCATATACTTAGGTTGGGTTGAACTTTTACTATTTTTGAACTATAAGTTCAAATTAGGACTAAAATTTGAATAAATTCCAAAACACAACCTCAAAACGATTCGAGTACGAGACTATAGAGTCAAGTGACACATAGTTTGAGTTTGCCTTGATTATTAAATAATTTTTTTAAATTAAATAATATTCAACTTATTTTCAAATACTAGATTTTTTTAGCAAAAGTTTTAAAAGTCCTAAATTTGTAGTCATACAAATTGACTCACCAACTACCATGACGGAAGTTTCCCTTTTAGCTTTTAAGTTGCATATATAAAGGTGTAGGGTCTAACTATTGTACTCCCGGAATGTTTGTTTTGATGTGGCTGGGAGAGTATGCATAAAATAGTATAATAAATTATTTAATTTCATATTTTGTTAAGAATTGTGGACTAGAAATTAAAATATGGGTTTCAAAAAACTCACGAGGTTGGGTTTAAAATCAGTCAACTCAAGACACAATGATAAAAAAAAAAAAAAAAAGNCCGGAATGTTTGTTTTGATGTGGCTGGGAGAGTATGCATAAAATAGTATAATAAATTATTTAATTTCATATTTTGTTAAGATTTGTGGACTAGAAATTAAAATATGGGTTTCAAAAAACTCACGAGGGTGGGTTTAAAATCAGTCAACTCAAGACACAATGATAAAAAAAAAAGATTCTATCTTTAATCTACCAAATTACAAAGGATTGGATTGAGCAATTCAATTAATTACATGACAAATATTTTATTTATAATTGTGATTAATTTAATGGGTTTCACATGCGTTTATGCTATTTAATTACCAAACAAAGTCTTTAATAGAATTTATGCACGAATCTGATGTATAAAAAAAGGGGTTGAGTTTAGCGGTGTTTGCTAAAAGCAATCTAATC